TGGTTGAATTTACTAAGCCAATGAGCATTAAATTTTTTACAAGACGTGTCTGTGAAGCTCGAGCAGCCCGTGCCTACGTGTATCTCCCACTGCAGGGCACTTAAAGAAAAGAAATCAGTTCTTCACAGGAGCTTTGCAGATGTAAGAACTCATCAGTGTTTCTAAAAACATAAACTGTAGTTGGTGTAGAAAGCCGCTCCCGCTCCCCTTTAGATAGAGAACATCCTAAATTGTGTTCTCAAAGGCATCAGCTCTGCAGCATCAGCCTTCCGCTTCCAGAGCCTGTGGGAGCTGTCTGAAAACACTTTGTGGGTGGTTGACACACTTTTAGGACATTTAACTTCTGCTTACACACTTACAAATGCAGCCTAGCCAGCATTCAAAGGAAACCCACAAATCTGAGGTACCCTCAGTGGTCCTTCTAGGGGAGTGATGGTGGGGTGGTATCTCCCCCAAGTCCTGCCTCTGACCCTGGGGGACGCAGGAGTGTGTTTTTTTTTTTTTTTTTGTTTTTTTTTTTTTTTTTGAGACAGAGTTTTGCTCTTGTTGCCCAGGGTGGAGTGCAATGGTGCAATCTTGGCTCATTGCACCCTCCACCTCCCGGGTTCAAGCAATTCTCCTGCCTCTGCCTCCAAAGTAGCTGGGACTACAGGCACGCACCACCATGCCTGGCTAGTTTTGTATTTTTTGTAGAGATGGAGTTTCACCATGTTGGTCACACTGGTCTCGAACTCCTGACCTCAGGTGATTCACCTGCCTCAGCCTCCCAAAGTGCTGGGATTATAGGTGTGAGCCACTGCACCCACTGGGAGTGTGTTTCGTATAGTACTTCACATAGTAGTATTGTTTTTCAAAAAACTATGTACAGGCCGGGCACGGTGGCTCACACCTGTAATCCCAGCACTATGGGAGGCTGAGGCGGGCGGATCATGAGCTCGGGAGATCGAGACCACTGCACTCCAGCGTGGGCAACAGAGCGAGACTGTCTCAAAAAAAAAAAGAAAGCTATGTACATATGAATCCTTTGTGATACCTAACAGTGGGTGAGGGGTGGGCTGTTTTTACAGAAGTATCCCAGAGCTGTGAAATGGAAGGAAGGAATGATAGACTTAAAGAGTCATCCAGGTAACAGTGCAGACAAGGGCCATCAATCAATGCTAAAAGCCTTGGGTGAAAGGTTTTAGGAAACAGGACCATGTTATTCGCATGGTCTCAAAGTGTCACTCCCCAGTTACTCGTTACAAAGGAGAAAGTCACCTTCGCAACAGAGGGACCCATACAGGACAGACTGCCCCGGTGTGTTTCCCGACATGGAACCGTGGGAAGCACACACCACCCTGAGGTTGTTTCTGCCAGGAAGCCTAACCAGAACCTTACCATGAGGAAGCAGTTAGACAAATCCAGTTGTCTGATGTCCTCAGGAACATTTTGATGTTCTTAAAAAATGACAGACATCGAAAAACTAAGTAAGTCAATCAAAGGCAGGGGTATGGTTCCAAACAAAGGAAGTCTACAGAGATGTAGCGGAGTGAGTGATCTACCATCTGATCCTAGTTTGGGAGGAAAAACTGTAAAAGGCATATTAAGGCGTGGTGGCTCATGCCTGTAATCCCAACGCTTTGGGAGGCTGGGATGGGAGGATCGCTTAAGCCCAGGAGTTTAAGACCAGCCTGAGCAAAAAGAATCTAGATTAGCCGGGTGTGGTGGAACTTGTCGGTAGTCGTCCAGCTACTCAGGAGGTTGAGGCCAGAGCGTCACTTGAACCCAGGAGGTTGAGCCTGCAATGAGCAGTGGTTGTGCCACTGTACTCCAGCCTGGGCAATAGAATGAGACTCCATCTTTTAAAAAAAAAAAAAAAAGAGACATCTTAGGTACAGTTGGAGAAATTTGAATATGGACTGTTGATTAGAAAATGCTATTCAGTGTTAAATTTCTGAGGTGTGGTAATAGTGTTGTGGTTATGTAGATCAGTGTCCTTTTAGTTAGGAGGTGTGTGTTAAAGTATTTAGGGTTAAAATGTCATGATGTTTGCAACCTACTTTCAGATGGTTCAGAAAAATGTGCTTGCATATATGTATGTGTGTGGGGGCATGAGTAGATAGATAGAACGCAGATGGGCCAAAGACTGGCGGTAGCGGAATCTAGGTGAAGGAGTTACATCTGTATCTCCTTAATCTAGGTTATACTAGTCTTTTAACTTTTCTGTAGGTTTAAATTTTTCTAAATAAAAATTGTAGGGCCGGGCGCGGTGGCTCAAGCCTGTAATCCCAGCACTTTGGGAGGCCGAGACGGGCGGATCACGAGGTCAGGAGATCGAGACCATCCTGGCTAACACGGTGAAACACCGTCTCTACTAAAAAAAAAAATACAAAAAAACTAGCCGGGCGTGGTGGCGGGCGCCTGTAGTCCCAGCTACTCGGGAGGCTGAGGCAGGAGAATGGCGTAAACCTGGGAGGCGGAGCTTGCAGTGAGCTGAGATCCGGCCACTGCACTCCAGCCTGGGCGACAGAGCAAGACTCTGTCTCAAAAAATAAATAAATAAATAAATAAATAAATAAATAAATAAATAAATAAAAATTGTAGGGGAAATGGTAAGAATTCATTGTTAAAAGAAAGCCAAACACAGAGAAAAGTAAAAATCCCCCTAGATCCTTCCATCCAGAGATAACCACAGTTGGTGGTTTTGTAAGCTTCCATCAAGGTATTGGTTCTCCATCTGCCTATTTAATGTTTTTTGGGTGTTGTTACCCCTCCTTTATTTTTCTTTAACTTTTTTCTTGAAGAAACCAGATCATTTGTCTTTTAGAATACCCTACATTCAGGATTTGGCTAATCGTGTCCTCATGCTGTTCAACATGTTCCTCTTTCCCATACTTCCTGTAAACTAGTAGTTGGATCTAGAGACTTGATTAGATTTAGGTTCTAGTTTCAGGTTTTATTTTGTTTGGTGAGAATATGTCATAAGTGATACTCTGTATTTCCTATAGTAACAGCTGTTTATCTTTTTAAATTATGCCAAGACACTTCCACCGTCTGAGTCAAAAGTATCAAGGTTCATTAAAGAAAGTGTAGCTTCCGGGCCAGGCGAAGTGACTCAGGCCTGTAATCCCAGCACTTTGGGAGGCTGAGACGGGCGGATCACGAGATCAGGAGATCGGGACCATCCTAGCTAATATGGTGAAACCCCGTCTCTACTAAAAATACAAAAAATTTGCCGGGTGTGATGGCAGGCGCCTGTAGTCCCAGCTACTCGGGAGGCTGAGGCAGGAGAATGGCGTGAACCCAGGAGGCGGAGCTTGCAGTGAGCTGAGACCGCACCACTGCACTCCAGCCTGGGCGACACAGCGAGACTCCATCTCAACAAAAAAAAAGAAAAAAAAGGAAAAAGAAAAAGTGTAGCTTCCATCTTTATCCTGTCCTTCCTCTTTTCTTCCTCCCCTAGTGGTGACGATTTTTTTTGAGCTTTGGGGATTCTTCCCACCGTTGTTTCCTACTGAAATATGAGCAAATATGTTTGTATTTTCCCAACTTCTTACACAAGCATACTAGACATTCTCAAAATATATCCTGGAGTCTCCATATCCTTATATAGAAATCTTTGTTCTTTTCATAGCTGTATAGTACTCTGTTACATGGGATATTGCTGTATTTTATCGAACCTGTCTTCTGCTGGTCGACAGTGTTTTTCTAGATCTATAATCATATATGGTGCTGAAATCAATGGCCTCATGCCCATATCATTTTGTATTTTTGTCAGTGTATCTTTTTTTGGATGGACTTCTAGAAGTGATACTGCTCTGGGTCAAGAGCGAATGCACATGTAATTTTGCTAGATACTACCAAATTCCCTGCCATAGGGATTCCCACCAGCAGCATATGAGGGACATAGGATCATTTTTGAGGGTGGAATGCAATATAATATAATATGGCATTGAAAAAGCAAAGCAGACCTGGATTCCAGGATTATTTCCACTTCCCAGCTGTGTGTCCCCAAACAAACTACTTAATCTCTCATAACTTTGGTTTTCTCATCTGTCAGATGGGGGTAATAGTTATTTTGAGGATTAGTCAAAGCAACGCAGGTAAAGATCTCAACGCAGTGTGTGTGGTGGATAGTAAGTGTTCAGTAAATGTTGACTGGGACATTCTCATTACGACTGTTATTCTTGAAGAATGAATCCTGAGTGCAAATGTTAGCTAAAGTCAGGGAAATTCCCACTTTCCAGTCTGCTGGAATGGTGAGAGCCTAGAGAGAGTAGAGAATTTTTGCTCTGTGGGTGGTGACTAGTTGAAAAGATACATAAAATTAAAAAATAAATCTCCATTGCTTTTATAGTTTTTCAGCTCTCTAGCTAAGTCTTTGAAGTGATTAATGGGTTTGGCCTGTATTCTAATCCAGCCATCAGAAGAGACGGAGGATTGCTGGATCCTTGCTGCTCTCTGAGACCAGAAAGCAAAATCCTCAGTAACTACTTTGCACTTCACTCCCACAGCGAATGCCTTGAGGGGAGATGTTCGAGAACACACCTCAAGGCCAGCTTGTTGTTGGGCGTTGCTCATGGTTGTGGCAGGGGGATGATGATCCATGAATGTGTTCATCATCAAGTGGTTTTTCAAATAAAATGTGTGTTCAGAGTTCTTTACATTATGCAAGTGGTCATTACTGTTTAAGTTCCTAGGCTAACGTGTTGATTCTTTTAGCAAAGGGTGTTGTGACTCCCTCATCAATGGATTCTGTAGAATTTGCCCCGAAATCAGAATTTTTAACCACAAGAGGACTGCAGTGGGTCCCCGAGCCCCCGAAGTTGTATGCAGGACTGTGTGTGTGTGTGTGTGTGTGTGTGTGTGTGTGTGTACACTGGGCATACACATGTATGCCCGAATGTGTGTGCACTGTGGGCGGGTGAACTCCCAGAGTTTGTGTTAAATTATCAGACATATCCAGGACTCCAGAAAGATTCAGAAACTCAGTGTTAAACCATATTCTTTTCTTTTTAAAGGATGTTGCAGCTCGGGGCTTAGATCTCCCTCAAGTCACGTGGATTGTTCAGGTAATTTTTTAGTTGTTAAGGTGTAAGCTTGAGACAGGAATATATGATCATGAGTAGATGCATTGGCTTTAAGTAGAATAATTATTATTATCCTCTTGGGTGTTGCCCTGGTAACCAGGCAGCAAACGAGCCTTATCTGTACAATTCCCCTGACATCTTTCCTTAACCCAGCCCACCTCACCACTGCAGCAAAACAGCCAGAATGTGCGTTCACGAGAGGGAGGTGGCAGGCTCTCCTGCTTCTAAACTAATTCATGTCACAAACCAAAATTTCAACAATCTGAAAACAACAGGAATTACCTCAGCCCCTGGGAGGCCTCATTGTGTCCAGAAGGAGATGGCTCAGCTGTCCTGAGAGCCGTGTCCATGTACATTGACCTGCAGGGAGCAATTAAGTTCCTGACAGCATCTTACACATACCTCTAGCCTTAGACGCTTTGCCAGAGGGTACAGGTGTTAGCACTAGAGTCCAGTGGTTTTAGTTTTGTTTTTTCTTTTCATTAGTCTACAGAATGGTATTTTTAAGCCCTTCTGTGTGGGGGCTGGGGGACATGTGCCCTGTTGACGTGAGTCATGGTTTATTCACATTTTAGTGGGATTGCATGCTTGTCACTGGCCAGGATGTCTGATCTGCTCCCTGCAGATGATCACTTTAGAACTGGAGGCATTGTGTCTTCTTTCCTGCTGGCCACAGAGTGAACTGAAGATAAGGCAATGATGATTTTAATGTACGGGAGGCCAGACATACAGAATTGATCATTTAGAGCTTATATTATGAATATTGATTCATTTCATATGCTTAGCCTCCCATACATTATATTCGTCTTGGCCCTCATCTTTTTGATTTGTGTAGCATTAAAGGGAAAAAAAAGGAAGAACGAGTGGATGGTCAATTAGCTTTAATGATGACAGAGTTATTGCCAAAGAAAACATAAAATGCTGTGCATTATCCATCGTAATGAGTGATAGAGTCTGCTCTTTTCTCTGAGTTGGCAGTGCTCTCCATGCAAGCAGAAGCAATGTCCTACCTGCAGGGAACCTGCCCCTCACCTGCCCACATTCTGTAGAATGGCCTTCATTCTAAAGGACTGAATGGGGCTGCTACAGGCTGGTGGGGACCAGCTCCTGGGGCCTGCTCCTGGTAGCCTGGCAGCAGAGGTAGACTCTGCCCACAGAGCAGGGAGCCCCTTCGTCCTTATGCCCTCCAGTGTCCTCTGGACACCTCACCCTATGGCCTTGTCTTCCAAGGAAGTAGGCCAAGGTCATGTGATCATCCTGGAGAAATGTACCCCCACCTGCCTACATTTTCACCTCATCCAGTCACCACAGTGAAAAGATGCAAATCAGAAAATGAAGAGACCTGTGGAGAAGTAAAATTAAAAAGGAGATATTGGGATGAGAAGACGTCTCGTTTATCGGAAACTTGGCCACTGTTCACATTTGCGTGTCAGAGCCTTGTTATTTCCAATGAAGCCAGGAGTTTCAGGGTTGAGTGACTTCTCCTTATGATTGTGTTAGGGTAACCATAGCACCAGGATTTAATTCTTGGGATACCTGGAGGCAGGTGAGGGGTATTGCACTTCCAATTAATGGCAGTCCCTTGATCTATGAATGCCTTCATTTTTGTTACCCTTTTTAGTACAACGCTCCATCTTCACCTGCAGAATACATCCACCGGATTGGAAGAACTGCCCGGATTGGCTGCCATGGGAGCAGCCTGCTCATTTTGGCTCCTTCGGAGGCAGAATATGTCAACTCGTTGGCTTCTCACAAAATCAAGTGAGTCAGAAACCTGAATGGGGTTTCGGCTGATCTCACCTAATTAACTTTCGGTCGCTTTTTACAGTGGATGGGCCTTGTAAGCTGACGAAGAGCCATTAACCCTTGTGATCCCTAAATGAGTCCCAGAATAGCCAGTGGCAAAAACTAAAACCCTTAATATCCTCAGCACATGACACTTTTCATTGCATTGCCAGACTAAGTCATAGGGCGATCTGTTGTACTTGGTTTTCTTTTAGAGAGCTGTGTTTTGTTTCTCCTGCTGTAAAGATAAGTATGCACCATCTTCACAGCTTCTGAAAGGCCTTTTATTCACAACTTTTATTTCTTGCAATTAATGGTTTGTATCTTCAAAGTTGATTTGTCTTTTAAAGAAATAATGCTTTTTACTTACCACACAATTTCCCTCCCCCAGGAAGACAAACCCAGGGGAAATGATTTTGAGGCTGTTGAAATCCATACTACACTCACAGCCAGGACGTTCAGCCGCCATCCTGTGTGTCACAGTTCAGCACCTCACACCCCTGCTTTAGTAAAGCCCTGGATTCCAGACCTGGCGTGCCATGAGCACACAGCTCAGCTCTGCTGTAAATGGGATAGTCTTACTTCCTTTTCCTTGCCCAGCCCTGTGTTTTATGTAAAACATCAGATAGAACTGCAACACTGTTTTCTCCCCTAAAGTACAGTGCTAGAACAAAGCACTGCATTCGTCATTGGAATGGAAACATCCTAGCAGGCAGCCTGGAGGCCTGTTAGGGGTGCAGCCCACTCAGTCGCAGGAGCTGTGTGTGGCTGTCCCTACCATACCTGCCCCATCTCCCACCAGCAGAACTCCACCTCTCATGCTAGTAAGGCTTCTCAAAACCCTCTCAAGGTTGTTAGTGTGAACACTTATGGACTGAGGCTCCTTCAGAAAATGTGTTGTGTGTCCTGCAGTGTTGAGGGAGGAAGGAAACTACTCCTGGTTGTAATGTCAGGGGGGCCAAAATATAGTTCAGGTTTTCCTTTCTTCATTGTGTTCCTTATCTTAACACAGTCTGTCAGTTGAAAGAGTGGTTTTTATTTGTTAAGGAAGATGTGCATATTGTATCTTATTAGTGAAAGAAATCTCATACAGATCAGTCACTTTTCACCCAGCACCGCTTCTCCGGCTGAGTTCTGAGCTCCCTCAGCTGGAGGCTGGCTGGCCTCTCTTTGCGGCCCTTTCAGCGTGGAGGCTGACACCCACCATGCGGGTGTACCAGGAACCCTGGGGAAGGTGAAATGCAAGCCCGCTGGCGCAGCTGGTTTCCTTTTCCTCCCTAACCCTGTTCTCACAGGCTTGGAGCCCGTCACAGTGCTGCTGGTGGCTGCGTTTCCTGTCATAGGAATTTGTGTACCTGCAGAAAGCATCTTCAGAATTTTATGTTGTGGCCCCACAATAGAAAATGTAGTCACCACGCCGTAACAGCCTGTCAGTCGCTCCACACTTCTTTTCCTCTTCCTTCCATTCCAGAGCTACAAATTCCATTCACCCGTTCCTTGCTGGCTGCAGCTCTCTGGATGTTCCCCCAATCTCGTTCACTTTAACATGACCTCTTCCTAAGAAAAATGAGTGACAGCAATTACGGAGTCCAATGATAATTGTCTAATGCTAGAGTTAACAGCAGACATGCCTCTCTCTGTTCTCTTTATTTTTCTCTAATAACACGTTCAAGTAGATTGCTATGAAGGGCTCAAATATAAAGCTAAAATTGAGAAGGGAAAACAGTGATTAGCAGAGGCATGAAGTATTAGGGAGTCAGGTATATTTTAAAGACATAGCAAATACCATCATCTGCTGTGATGATCTTGTCTGGAAAAAATAGTGTGCCCTCATTTACATGACTCCCTTTTTAATCCCACGTTAGAAGGAAGACAACTCAGTGACAATGCCACCTCTTCCGGAAGGAGGAAGTGTAGGCCTTTTGGGGAGGGACTCTGCAGGGTGGTGGAAGAGCATTTGTGTGAGGAGGGAGGGTCCTTGCGTGAGCCCCACTTCACTGGTGTCTGCCCTGAAAACTCACTTGTGAGGGGCCTGGGCCTGGACCACTGCCTGCCTCGTGGGCGCGCTATAATCAACTTAAACAGACATCAGAATCTGGGTTACTACGTTGCAGTCATGCCTTGTTCTTCCCAATTTCTGTTTGAGGAAAGGCTCTACATTGGCTATATCTACACATGAGCTATTTCTTTGACTTAATGAAAAAAAAAAAAAAAACCCTATTAACCAGTTACAAAGTGTGCAGTGGGAAGAAGCAGACTGAACATTTTTAGAACCCAAAAGGTCCACTCCTAAATATTTTTTGAGGAGGAGGAAGCATGTGCATGTTTCGTGCCTGAGAACATGAGAGCCAGGCAGAGGGGCGCTGGGAGGGCTGAGGCATCACAGGGCAGATTGGAGAAGGCAGGCCGAGGCTCTCGGCAGCAAGGGCCAGCACGACAAATGGCCACCCGCCTTCCTAGACCGAGCGCTGCGGTGCTTGCCCTGGCAGTTGAATGGAGCAGACAGGGCAAGAGACAGGTTCCTGGGCCATTGCCACCTCTGTCTAGATGCTCAGAACTTTGCTTCTGCATTCTTTTGACTTCTCTGTATTTGTCAACTTCTTAACTTTTTTCTGCCTCCCCTTTAAATGTGTTTCTAATGAAAATCATCATTGGTTTATTAAAATGTAAATGCTTCATCAAAACGTGTATTTCTTAGATCAGGCATAAGACAGTTCCCTGAATTTATTTATTTATCCATCTCGTTTCATACTAAGGTGGGGTGATTCAGATCTGTTGATGGACCCATAAATAATCATAGTAGATTTGCTTTGTTCCTCAGAAGCAGCAATTTCTTAGGAAGAGGAAGAAGGCCCTTTGAAACTGTAAATCACTTCAGTTCCCTCCCAGCTCCCGTGTGCTTGGGGTGTGTGGTCCCCCGACATCGCCAGGTGGACACGCAGCATATGAGCCGCGCTCCGGCTGGAATATCAGCACATGCATTTGAGAACACTGCCTTTCTGTGGCTATTTAGCTTTTTATATTCCTGAATGCAAGTGGCACGATTCTTTTTTCTTTCTGCTTCAAGATTTGACTCCAAGTTCTTGCGTTTCTTTTACTTTTGTGTTTTTCCTCTTTTTTTTCTCAAGAAAAAAGTGATGAATAGAAGCAAATCAGATAGACCAAGAAAAAGATGGGACTGGGCGATGTTTTCACCTTTCTTCAGGGTTCCAGGCACAAATGAGAGGGGAGTTCAATAGCCATGCATTCCTGTCTCCTATGAAAAGTAGATTTCCCGTGAAGTCAGGGCACTCTCCCTCCGACTCCTGCCCTTTCAGAGCATGCTCTGCCTCCTCTGGTTGACTCTTGCTGCTGTAAAAAGGCTTCACTCATCCATAGGGCTGTGAGTTGGCAGCAGAGAGAGGATGCTGAGGGGTGAGGACTAGGGGTGTGCAGGGAGATGACACGTTTCAGGTAAATCGCTGTCAGAGACGTGACATTTTCATTCACAGCCTTGTCAGAGTAACCTTTGGGTGAAAGGGGGAGAATTGTCTTCTCCCACCTAAGAGGTTGCCATTCATGTTTTAATTTGCTGTTACATTTTCAAAAAAAAAAAAAAAGGAACATACAACAAAATCATTTGTCTTTTTATGATCTGTTTCCCCCCCAGAACTCCTCCTTCTCTTTCTGTTTCTCTTTCTCCCTGGGAAGTATCTTAGCAGCAGCTCACGTTTCCTCCTTCATCTCTGACACGCACGTCTCTCTCTGCTCCCTACATTCGAATGCTGTGGCCTTGCAGTCGATTGGATGAAGCGGAGGCTTTCCAGACTCCAGCGCTAGGCAGGTGTGACTGTTCTGTTCTGGCTCCTGGTGGCTTCTGTTCCTGAGTGAAGCCCGAGTTCTTGTCTCAGTGCTTGGCACATGGCTCCGGGTTTGTCAGAGATCCTTGGGTCTACACCCCTCAGTAATTAAGAGACAAGGGTAGTGAAGCTCCTTCAGGGTAGAAGAAGAAAGGGCAGTGCTGCTGTGGACAGGGCTTTGTGCCCTCGTTAACCCTCAACAGGGGTATTTACCCCACGAGGAGGAGTTGGGTCACCCTTTCTTTCCCTTTTTTTTTTTTCTCTCAGTATAGAACTAAAGAGATCAAATAGCTTTGATAATTTCATCATCACTAGCTCAGGCAAGGGAGGTATTCCAGTTTAGCCGTTGGGCCAAACTTGTTCTTGGGATGTGGCAAAAAGTTTTATTCACAGAAATCATTTGGACTGTGCGCGGTGGCGCTCAGCGACAGTAATCCCAGCACCTAATTGCGAGAGCCGAGACGGGCTGCGAATTCAAACAGAGGGTCAGCCGCGAACAATCGTAGAACATCCAACTTGGCGTAAGCGACTTGTGAAAGCCCCGTCTCTGAGCAGTAAAGAAAGTAAACCAAAAAACCTAGCCGGCAAGAATAGTTGGCCGGGTCGCCTGACAGATGTACACCAGCTACTCTGGGAGGCGTGAGGACCCGGAGAATTAGGCGTGAACTCCCAGGAGCGACCTTGCAGTTGAGACATGAGGAGATTACCAGCCACGCACTACCAGCCATGGGCGTGCAGAGCGAGACTAACCCATTCCGCCTCAAAAACAAGAAAGAAGAAAATAAGTGACACAATTGCCTTATAAAGGAACATTATCTAACTAGCCTCTT